TGCACCTCGCCCCCTGCAGCTGCCTTCGCAAACGGCTCCAAGCCCTGGGCAAGGAGCAGCCGCAGCCACCAAGCCCCACACCTGGCTGCTGTGCCCCCACCTCGCAGCTTTACCCAGGGCAGGGGTCAGGACCGCAGCGCCGGGCGCGCTCAGGGTGCTGGCTGCAGCTTTTGCCTCTTGCATGCGGTGGGGACTGGGGAACCGACCCCCTCCCCTCCCACCAGCCTCCTTTGCTGGGTCTGTCCCTTCTGCCCAGCTGCGACCAGAAGGAGCAAAACCAGCCCTCAAGCTCAGCTGAACAGCCTCATCCAGGGCTTCCTCTGGGTTTGTCCAGCACACATCACCATCACACTCATGGGCCATCGTGCAAAACAGCCCTGAGGTGTCATCTGCGCTTCAGGAGTGGCTTTGAGTCACGGTTCCAAGCACACAGTGCCCTGCAGGGACCATGGGTCCAGCCAGCTTCTCCAGTTCCCAGCTGCTCTGGAGCACAGCACTGGTGTGAGCCTGCAGGGATCACCCATCCTCGGTTGCAACAGCACCAGCTTCCCGAGGGGAGCAGCAGGACAAGCCCCAGGCACTTGTTCCCCAGGGGCCTGGCTCCTGCACTGGTTTTTGTACCCCTGTGTGCATAGCTGCCTTATTCCCACCTGCAAAAACATGGGCTGGTAGGTAGTAAACAGAATCCTCCCCTTCAGCATCCATAAGAGCCCCTGGCAAAGAGCTGTCAGCCCCATGGAGCACTGTCCCCGTGCCCCATGTCACTGCCAGGGTATGTGATAGGACAGATATTAAACAGTGTCCCTCCAGGGCTCTTCCCCAGCTGCACCATGCAGACCCTCACCCCTCAGCTCCAGCACCCCCTGCCAGCACAGGAGCAGAGAGGAGCAGAATTAAGACCATCCTCTTTCCCCAAACATCATGTTACGGTTCTTGTTCCCCCTGCCCCCAGCTTGGCTCTCTCCCCCCCAGAACTGCACCTACAGAAAACACAAGCAGAGGTATGCTTCCCACAGAGATGAGCACAAGGGGCAAGGCTTTCACAAAGACACAGCCAGGAAAGCGGTCCCACCAGGACCCAGTGCTATTGCAGAGGAGTTATTTGAAATTGATGCAGACAGCAAAAGCCCAGCGATGTGAGAGAAAAGCGTGATAGGACAAAGCCATAAAATAGGATACAAGCACAAAGACAGACAGAAGGCTCTTGAAATAACTGGCCTCATTTCTCTGTACTTTGTTTTCCCTCTTCCTGGGCACACAGGAGTAGCGAGCTTAGCCCTGGTGAGTGCAAGCAGCATCTACAACCTTTCACAAAGCTTTCCAGATGCTCAGGAGAGGGCTGAAGGACTACACTCAGATCCAGCCCCATGCCTGCTATGGCAAGGAGCTTCAGGAAAAGCAGAGGCTCGGGTCAGCCAAGCAAGCAGCACTTGCTCAACCTACTCCTGAAAACCAAGCTGGAAGGCACAGACTGTTAGTGAGGAGGCAGCACAAAGATCCTCCAGCGAGCAGGGACTGGCTTGCTAAAATGGTGACCAGACAGAAGAAAGCAAGTACGTTAGTGGAGGAAAAAAAGAGTCAGAAACAGGAGTAAACAAGAATGTTTGTTCTTGTTAAGTTTATTGGCATCATGTTCGTCTCTTTACATAAGAGCTCAGCCTACGTACTAGAATGTAGACCTCTGGAAAACAGGTAGAAGGGCTCCATTTAAGCAAGCTACAAACGCAAGAACAAATACCAGGAAGAAAGGAAGAGAGGAAAGGGACTAGATTGCCAAGTTTTTCCATACCAAAAATCCAGATTAGCAGTCAGTAAGAAGAAAGGGAAGATTCATAGTCCAGGTTGTTCCTTGAGAACCAGCTACCACAACCCAGGTGGGAGAGGAGCTCCTTTCACAGCACAGAGAGCCACCAGGACACATCAGCTCTGCCTCCTTCCCACACTCGCTCCAGGATGTTAGGAGTTAAGCAGTAGGGCAGGTGAACAAATGAGGTCATTTCATAGCTGTATTTAATTTCAAATCCAATAATCCAGTGTGCATATCAATGCTGTTATGCAAATCTGAGAATTTAGATACAAGGAAGCCAGACAGATTTTCCAGAAGATGAAGCCTTTCGGCCTCAAAACAAGAAGGCGTACATAGTTCATCTCTACTGTACAGAATACTGCCTCGATCTGGACTCTGTGTTGCTAGCACGCTGCAGTTCACAAGTGTCCTCCTCACTTTCTACACAATCTGTGTTTCAGTACTTGAACATGTAATTCAGGAATTTTACACTAATTTATACATTTTTAATTGGTTGCATATATTAACATGTACTATAAGATTTTTCCTAAAGAAGCATTACATAATACATGGATACTGTAAAAAGATTTGATTAGTTAAAAGTAACAAGCATTAACAGAGATACATACAAAACTCAACCTAGTTGGACTGAGTGCTGAGCTTGCGATGAACTATGGGTAACCAGCCTTTCCAGTTGCAGCCTTCACAGGGGAAAACACCAGACAGTTAAAAATGTATGGAACTTGTTACACAGATTACCTGTAAACAGTTTCTCTCCATTGGACACCTGGAATTAGATTCAGTTCCAAACATACATAAGAGTTTCCATTTTAAACTAAGAGAAAGGTCTGTTACCATGAAGTGTGATGTGGATGGTGTGGGGACGTGAGCTCTGAAGTGTGGGACTCACAGATGCTCATGGGAAATGGATGGATTTTGGCAGCTGGAGATGGAAATTTTTTTTTAAATTTCGTTTTAAACACAGAAGAGGGGCTGTGTGTTTGAAGGCCTAAGTGTGATATTCGTTTGTGAAGGACTGTGCTCAACCCCTCCCTCTCCCCTCAGCAGCTGCAGCTCTCCGCAGAAGCCTTCACTCGGTCGTTCTTGTCTAGTTTGATGGGTTCAGGGAATTCATTGTAAAGCTCCACTTCGCTTTCCTGGTGGGAGAGAAGAAGGGAGGAGTTCGTGCCATGACTCTACAGACAGCTCCTAGCATGCAAGGAGCCCTTCTCGGCTGTGGGGAAGGCTGTCAGAAAGCCCGAGGCTGCCTGCAGCAGCCGAGCTCGGCAGGCAGGACCAGCACCCGCAGAGGACACCCACCAGCCCCCTCCCTACCTGTTTAAGTGCATTTCGTGCAATCGTCTGGAAAGCTTGTTCCACATTAATGGCCTCCTTGGCACTGGTTTCAAAGTAGGGGATGTTGTTTTTACTGTAGCACCAGGCTTGTGCCCGTTTTGTGGTGACCTGGGTGGACAGAAAGCAGCATGACCACCTCCAGCTGTGCAGGAAGGGGGTTTTATTTCCAGGGCAAGGCCAGAGACCCCTCAAGCCCAGCCTGAGCTAAGGCAGCAGTTCCGACCTCATTCAAGCCACAGCCTTGACACAGAGCACCGTCTGCTGCCCACCAACAGACACGCTCAGCCCCAGGGCAAGGAGCACCACACCCAAGAAGATGCGACCACAGAGCAGGGACTTGCTCCCACAGGAGTTTCTCAGCAGTTCAGGAGGAGAATCAGCTCCTCTCCTTGCATTACCCAGGGAGCTGCTGCAATCCTTCCACCAGTGGGCAGGAGCATGCTGCGCACAGGCACTGGACCCCTCTGGGAGGAGAAACTCTTCCCCAGCTGCAGGCAACAGTTGAGCCCCGCTCAGGCACCTCCCACTCCTGTTTCTCAGATAACCCTCCCCTGTTCTGCAGGTCTCCCACTCCAGCAATTTGCTAAGGTTAACAAGTCCCAGTACTCACTTGTCTGTTTTCTAGGTCAATCTTGTTTCCCAGCACAACAAAAGGAAAGTTCTCAGGATCTCTTGGACTGGCCTGAATGAGGAATTCGTCCCTCCAGCTGTCTAGGGTTTTGAATGTGTTGGGGGCTGTGACATCAAACACCAGCACACAGCAGTCCGCTCCTCTGTAGAAGGCAACTCCCAGAGACTGAAATCGTTCTTGTCCTGCTGTATCCCATATCTGGAGCAAAAGACAGGGCAGATAAGCCAGCTCTGCTCCGACACAGTCCACAATTAGAGCCCTTATTTCCTAACTCCCCACCAGGCACCTACAGCCCCCAGCTAGAGAGGAGCACCTGAAGGGTGGGGAATTCTGTAGGCACAAAAGTACCATGAGCCAGAAACACTTATGAAGACAGTTAACCCTTTTTCTGTTCAGCCTCAGCAAGGGACATACCCTTGTTCTGGGCAAGCAGAACTTAGGGATTAGAGTCAGCAGGTGACATGCTACGGTGCTTTGGTGCACGGGGGTGCCAGCACAGCCCAGAGACTCCCCTCCGATGTCTGCAATGGGGCTTTGCTGCCTTGCAGTCAGTCTCACCATGCAGAGATGGAAGTTTCAGACAGTGCAGACATAAGCAGACTGGCAGGTTAGTGCCATACCCACAGCACTCAGGGCAGCGTGAGTAGCTGACCTGACTAAGGAGTCCCTTCCCAGTTCCTAAACGCCAGGGAATTGCATCTTTCTACCAAGATTTAGTTTACTGACAGTACCAAATGCTGGTTTTTAAACTGGGCCTGGCAAAGCTGCTCTTAGCTGAGCCTAAACTGATTTTTGCCTTCCCTTTTCCAGCCCATGCGTGGATTTGTAGAGCAGCCCAGCAGCACCCGTGGCCAACAGCAGCTCAGTGCTGTCAAGGCTCAGACCCAGTACATTGACCCCTGCACTGCTCTGGACACTGGAGCAGATACTTCCAACCTATGTGGTCCAGGCAGCCCAGCACCCCTTGAGCAGGGAGCAGAGTCACTCCTTACCTGCATTGTCACTAGCCTGTCATCCACCATCACCTCTTTTGTCAGGAAGTCTGCGCCTATCGTAGCCTTGTACTGGTTACTGAATTTCTTGTTCACATACTGGTTCATGAGCGATGTCTTTCCCACTCTGTGCAGGAAAACAAGAAAAGACTAGGTAGGTTGCTTCTACAACAGTATTCAATCAACTGCCCTGAACAGAACACCCCGCTGCCCTTTGCCTTCTACCGTGGCCTCCTGGCCCTTCAGCCAGGGAAAATGCCCCCACCTCTGTGAGAAGAGGCTTTTACAGCAATAGATGCTAAGGCAACACACTGAGTAAGAGCATTAGCTACCTCAGGATATGAAGGATTACAATCCTGAGAAACTTTGTTTCCCCACCAGTAACCTGATCCTCGGTAAGGGGTACACATGTTACATCATGAGGGTGATTTTGGAAGAAGATGAAGTGCCCCAGAGAAACCCACCAGCAAGAGTCATTGCCAGCCTCTGCAGAAGGAGGTGGTAGAGGAACAGGGAAGAAGATGAAGTGCCCCAGAGAAACCCACCAGGCAAGAGTCATTGCCAGCCTCTGCAGAAGGAGGAACAAGGAGGAACAGTCTCAGCTGGGAACAGCTCACTACACATCTGCTAGGCACCCAGAGGTGGAGATCCTCCCCAGAGAGCCAGCTCAGAGGCTCATATACCCTCTCTGCAGCTGAGAAACGCTCCCTGATCAACAGCTCGCCAGGCACAAGGGTATAAACAAGCCTTATGCCACAGGAGTCAGGTTGCAGCCTGCACAGCAAGTCACCTGTGACAGTGGGGCAGATCCTTGCTCACCAGCACAGAGCAAAGCCTTCGCTCCACGGGGCAGCTCCAGCCAGATCAGACAGAGCCAGCAGATGGCTCAGGATAACCTACGGCTCTGACAGAGGCAGAGGTTAACAAGTCACCTCAGATGGCTTACTAGCAGGGTTGTTTTGTTGGGTTTTATTTAAGCAAAAATCTCATTTCAACCCCACACTTCTCCTCCTTGCAGAGCGGCTATCCCGTTCTGCCACTGGAGTGGGCTGCACTGCATTCCCCCTGATGAACACTGTGGCAGGACTTCAGGGTAGTAAACTGCAGGGACACACTCAGGGGCAGAGGCTAGTGAAGTGTTCTTCAAGCTGCAAGGTAACACAGCTACCTGGGGCTGCAACACATCTGCTCCCAGCACTGCTGGTTTCTCACAGTGCATCCAGGCTCCCACAAGGCAAGACCACTCCCCAGCCAGACGCAGACTGGTAACTGACAGGCTCCTCCACTTACCCGGAGTCTCCAAGGATGATGACTTTCAGTAACACTTTCTTCCTAGAAGTCATCTTTTACACTAGAAAGGAAGGGGAACAATCCCATCAGACACCATTACCATGTAATTCCAGCGAGTCTGGGGGCTGAGAAGCCCGACTCCCAGCAAGGAGCCAGCGATGGGCACAGCCCAGCACTCCCGGAACCAGACTCACTTGAGCAGTAACCAGGTGTGTACCATCCCATGGGCAGGGCCATGTCAGACCAGTAGTAGCAACTACCAACAGGTAGGTGAGCCAAGCGCTCATCCTTTACAGTACCAAGCCCATTTCGGACCCATCTCCATGCCCTTCGGTGGGTGTACAGCCTAGGCCACCTCCTGGAGGCAGGGAAACACATCAGCTCCCAATGCAGATTAATTCCTGCACACGGTACTTAGTGAGATGTAAGCAGAAATGTGCCCCATACCACAACAAGTAGTTTCCAGGAGGAAAAAAATAAAATAAAAAAACCTTTGGCTTCCTCCACCTTTCAGGTTCAGCTTGGAGAAGCGATAGCTCTCTGGCAGCTGTGCTGTGTGAAGGTGTTGAGTCCCAAGGACAGGCTGTGGTTGAAGCTGTTGCAACATAACCACACCAGCCAGCTGAACAGCCGAATTAAGGGCAAACTGCTGCCAGACTCCGCGGCTTTGCTGGGAGGACATGAAGCGAACTACTGCCATCTCACCTCCAGCGGGAGAACAAGAAAGGCCACAGCAGCAAACCTCCCAGCATGCAGGCTAGTGCTAGACCACAAGTTGTTTTTTCAGTCTCATCCTGTCATGACTCCAGCCCACTGGAGCTGGTGGTTCTAAACGGGCCACTAACAGTCCAGGAGTGAGAGCTGAGCTGCAGACACCCACACTCCTACTTGCTCCCAGGTCTCCTCCAGATCAGTGAAGCAGCCAGAAGTCCACCAGCTGCAGCAGGCCTGAATGCACTTCTGGATGTGTGTTAGCACAGTGAAAGAAAGTACAAAGCCTTTCTGTTAGTGGTTGAGCACACCCCTCCTACCATGAGGCCCTTCTCCCCACCTCTGGAAAGGGGACGGGACAAAGCCTTCTTAGGTGCTCAGGCTTGATCAGATCACAGAAACTGGTTTGGTATGAGCTGGTCCATGAGACGAGGTCTCCTGGTCTTTCCCTGAGGAGCCCTGCGGGTTCTATACAGCAAGAGGAGCAAGAAGATGGTCAGAGCTGTGCTCCTCAAGCACAAAGACCCTTTACAACAGGCTTAATATAGCAAGCCCTTATATGGGAACTTGGTTACCCTGAAATTCCCATCCTGCTATACCACATTCACTGCACCACACAACTCCTGCTCTTCAGGAGCTATTCCTGACTCTCCACAGGTCAGGAGACCTTCACTTCTACAACAACATGGAGAAGAGTCTCCTGAGCAGCTCGGTCCCATGCATTTCCTGGGATGTGCAACAGCCTAAGCTGCCAGATAACTGCAACCTGCTTCATCCCGCTGCCACAGGAGGTGACATGCTCCAAGCTGGAGAAGTCTCTTACTAGATGCAGAGTCCGATTGCAAAAGGTCTTAATTGTCTCAAGCTTTGAGTGCCAGAAGAAGTGCAGTCTCGTAGACTTTGCCACCAGCCAGTGCTGCAGAAGTCCTCCTGCAGCTGCTGTAGGCGGTGGTGCACCTACAGCCACACCTTGGGGGCTGCACCACCTCCTGCATCTCAGGATACATCCAGATGGGAAACACTGGTGAGAAGATAACAGCGAGATGCTGTTGGGTGAACAGCAGCGACAGGCCACCCGCAGAGCTCATGCTGTCCTTAGATGGTTGTGACCAGATGCCAGAGAGCCTGCACAGGACAGTTTCTCCAAGTGTAAACACCTCTCCTTTCCAAGGCTGCCTATGCTGGACCGCGCTGCGCAGTGATCAGCTCACCGCCCAGCTACACCAGCCAAGATACAGCCAGCTGAAAACCATCAACCACCCCAACCTTCAGTCCTGCTTCTGCTCTTGCCAAGATCCACACTCTACAGCTTGTCTCCTCTACAGCCACAGGGAGAACAGACCATGTAAGCTCCTTCAAGCGCTCGGCACCACCTGTGTTGTCAGAGCATGTAGCACGAGTGTCACTTGTGCCAGCCACACCAGAGACTTCTGCAGCACAATGAGCCCAGATGGAGCAAGAAGCAAGCAAGCAGAGCCTTGAAACAGCTTAAAGAGAGCTGTGTATGCCAAACTGTCATGGAAAACATCTGTATAGGTTCAGGTCCAGGGTGCGACTGTTTTCCTCAGGACAGAGCAAAACAAGTCACCCGAAGTGACTGTGCCAGCACCCAGCATGTGCTGCTCCTGTTTTCCCGAGCATTTGCAGTATCGCTTGCCACCAGCTGCTGCAGCTCACTGCTTCCTGCTATTCAAAGCAGCTTTGGACAAGCTGGCATTAGTTCTCATGCTCACGGAGGGATTTGCAGAGCCCTAAATTACAACACTAAATCACACAGGATGCTTAGCACCCAAGTTCAACACAGCCTGAAGTCCCACTGTGGAGGGAGGGGAAACTGCTCTGTCAGGTCCCATTACCTTGGAGCCAGCCCAGCCGAGCAGCCACGGGAAGGACGTTGAGTCAGACCTGACACTGCCTTCTTGTCATAGCTGACAGGCTACCCCACCAGCACGAACAGCTAGGACTGCCTCACCAACACCGGTCAGGTGAGACACCCAGCTTCCATCCCAGGTGACGCAACGGAAATGAGCCACAGCACAGGATGAGCTGCATCAGCCTGGTGTTGGGTCTGGGCCATGAGACAGTGAGGAGCTCCAGTCCCACCAGGGACCAGCGCTGGCCACTGCGCAGTGTCCCACCCCCGTTCTGCTAGGCCTGATCAATGCTGCCTTGAGGTTGATGGGCTGAGCCCTCTTATTAATCTTCTTATGACAGGTATAAACAGACCAACACTTCAGAGTTATTCCTTGCCCAGTACCAGCAGAGACCTTGCCTTTGGAGAGGAGTCGTCCTTTCCAGGTCTTGGAGGAAGTACCAGTGTTTGATCTCCTGGAACCTTCCTACAGAAGGAAACCCCTCTAAGTTTAAGTAGCACGAAGTTGCTCCCTACAGCACCACCTTTGCCACTTACCACCTTCTGTGTGGCCAAGCAGGTCTCCAACAGCAGCTCCAGCTTTAGAGCAGCTCTTGTGCCTGACTGGTCCTGGTGAGATCTTCAATCTATCTGGATTAAAGACATCCCCCTCCTCTCAACAGGAGTTCCTTATGAAGCACCCCAAAGGCTCAAACTACTCCAAGGACATGCCTCCTCCGATGTTTGTTTTTAACAAGCTGAGGTCCTGGGAACAAAAGACACCAGTGCTCTCGGAAGGTCCTCTAAGTGAAGCTTTACAACGGTCTCCTTAACACCATGCAAAGGATTTTGGTGACTTCAGCTTGTACTAAGCCAACAGCAAAGACAACATCTTCATGGCAGAGGACACTTCCACACAGTGCACCTGACATAAGCTCAGAAATACCTCAGCTGATGCTGGTTACAGCATGTCACTTGGTGTGTCAGCAGACCAAGGTGCAACCAGCCAACCCTGGACCAGGTTCAGAACCCCTCAATTTGCTTTCCTGAAGCCAGAGGCAATTTACGACAATTCCCTTGTTACCACAGGCTGTTTCTCACATTACATGGCACTGAGTAGGTTCATTACTGCCTTGTGTCCCAGAAATGGATCCTACATACATGCTCCAAGCTACACAGATCTCATTTCTGTGAGCCCTACCAGTGCTAAATCAGTAAGGGAGACCAAGACAACCAGAGCTTCAGCTCACACACAAAGCAGGTGTGAATACCTGAAGGAGCAGCTAGTTCATGAGGAGTCTCTCCAGTTACACCTGCAAGAAACATTAAATTACCGAGCTAAGGTGAGATGTAGGCTGTGCAGGGCTTCTTCCATGCTCTAGCAAAGAGCAGGCTCAGCTTGAGTGGAGATCAAACCCGTGATAATGCTGAGCCAGTGGTATCCAAGCCTGAGACTATTTTGCACTAGATATGCAGCTCATCTTGCCTTCTGATACTTAGAGCAGCATCCTGTCAGAGTCGCACAAGCCCTTAAGATGGCAGTGTGCGAGCTCACACAGGGCTCACATCCAGTCCCAGGACGTTTCTGAACCAATGCTTCCCTTTTCAGAGATACCATGAAGCAAAACCTGTTTGTTAAGATTTGATCTGAGACATCAGTTCTGTTTTACACTGTGTGAAGTCTCTTGGAGAGAGGTCACCTGCATGACTGCTCAAAACAGCCTACCAGCATACCTAGCTAACCATAGAGCCACCTGAAACTTCCCATCAATCAGAAGTCCTGGCGTAAGTGGCACCAGAGGAATGGCACAGCCGCCTAACGCAGGAGTCCTTCCACTCCATTTTTTAATGCCTGTCCCTCTAAGCAAACAAGCCATTAACAGTATGTTGACCCTCCTGAGGTTAATCCTGGTACAGCATGCTCTCTCCCCCCACAGTGTCATTAACTTTGCAAGGCTGGCCTGCTGGAGCAGCAAGGGAGAACCCCAACATCTGACCAGCAAGTCTTACTGGCTTAGCTGGTCTGAAAGGAAGAGTCAAAACAACTGTCCCACAAACCTCCATCTTGCTCCTGCTCCTCAGATGCCAGAGGAAACAAAGCCTATGCCACATCTCATTAGGCTTCCCTTCTTGCTTCAGAGCACATTACAACTGTCCTTTCACTCGCTGTATTGAGACAGCTGCTTTAACCTGCAGCAGAAATGGATGGTTATGGATTCCTTAGAGATGTTCACATGTCAAGCCACAACACAGGCATTTTAACATTAATGAGACTGGTACAAGCAAAGGTCAGCAGGAGCTTGCATTGGTGGCCCACCAGATCTCTTCGATCAGCTATCGCTTAACACAGGTAGGCCTGTGAGAGGAACACCCTGTTAAGTTGCTCATGGACAGTTTTCCTATGAAAGTAGCGAGCCTTGGAGGGGGAATCTCACTGTTGTGGAAGACAACAGCTCCTTAGGCAGCAGCATACCCACACCAGCCTTGAACCTGCTGACAAGC